GCAGCACCTTGGGTTTTTTGTTTTTTTTTTTTTGGTTTTTCTCCGGTACCGGGAACCGAACTCACGACCTTGCGCTTGCCAGGCAGGCACTTTTGCCACTGAACTAAATCCCCAGCCCCAACACCTTGAACAGATTAGACATCACTTATGATGCAGTGACAGGAGGTCTGACCGCATTTTTCCTCTTTGTAAACATACATGTGTTTTAAATTTTACCTTTTCATATTTCCTTTAAAAAATTAGGAACATGCTACTTACATTTATTGCATTATTAACATCACTCCTTAACTTGAAATGTTTTTGTTCCTGGGAGTTTAAATTCACGTGGAGACTTTTTTTGCACCGGGTTCCTGATAACTTATCTTTATCTCTTGGCTTTATTAGTAGTCTGTCCTGTAGTCATCAGTTCTGGAAGGGGACTGTGCTGCCTCTATATTGGAAATGTAAGCAGAAACACTGAAAGCCTTTGTGCACTTCAGACTTATTCTTGCAAAGTATTGTGGCTCTGGAGTGAACATAGTAAGTCCTGGGCCCAGGTGTGACACTCTTGACTTTGGTACACACGTTGGGAAGTGGCCTAACCTATTTTGTTTTATTGCTGTTCTATGCTGGGTGTTGGTATGTTCAAAAAGAACCTAATGCAGTGGTGCACACCTGTAAATCGTAGCACTGAGGGAGGTTTGAATCCCACCTGGGCAGCTTAATAGGTCCCTGTATTAACAGTTTTAAAAAGGGTTAAGGATGAAGCTCAGTGGTAAAGCACCCCTAGATTCTATCCCTACTACAAGCTCCCCAAATGTAAACATCTGACAACTACTAAGTAAAGACATTTTATTCTCTACTTTTCTCTCACATCCCCCTAGAACCAGAAGATAAATTGAACTTTGGGATGCTAGTGGAAGTTGTCTTTTTCTTCTAAAGATAAGTTGGAAAACTGTCATTGCTGAGAGAGCTGCAGTGTTGTACAGAAAACTGCCAAGGTAAAAAAAAAATAAAAACAAAAAAACCAATAAAGTTAAAATAGGCCAAATTCTATGGCGAGAGCTTAGGTTTCTATTTATTGTGGGGACATGTGAGGCTGAACAGAAGACCAACTTACAGAAACAGTTGTTTAGTGAAGTCAGGCTTAAAGTTTATGTTTTTAATAACAAACTTAAATATTATCAGTACTTTAAACTGTGCTGATTATCACATTGCTTTCACCTGAAATTCTCAGCTGTTGTTGTTCTGTGCAATAAATCTTCACCATTTCCACGTAAATCTTTCTTCTTGACAAGTTCTCACTGAAACATCATCAGGTGTTGTCTTTGCTTTTGAGATGGGATCTCAAAAGGAATGTGTTACCATGCCCAGCTACTCACCAAATAGGTTATAAAAGAAACTTAAAAATTATGTTGTGAATTTGGCTATTTGCTGAAGTAAATATTTTGAATACTAAAGTTTTAGTGCTTATAGTATCATATTTTTTCTTATGTAAGGTGAAAGAAAACAATGCAAATGAAATGATGTTTATAGGTTTTTTTGTCGTTTGTGTATGTTTTATTTGTAAATATATATGTATTTATTTAATGTCGTTTTTCTTTTTGTTTTTGTTAGTAGTTGGGATAAAACCCAGGAACACTGAATTACATCCCCAGACCTTTTGAGATAAGGTCTTACTAAACTCCCCACAGCCAGAGGGTGGTGGTATACACCTGTTTTCTCAGCACTTGGGAGGCTGAGGCAGGAGGATCACCTCAAGTTCGAGGCCAGCCTGGGGAACATGGTGAGTCTAACAATGGCCTGAACTACATAGTAAGACTGTCTCAGAAAAACTGGAAAAAAAAAATTTACTCTAGACTTGTAATACTCTTGCCTGAGCACCCTGAGTAGCTGGAATTAAAAGGTGCACACCCTGGTGCTGCCTATTTTGTACCTTTTTGTTGTTCTATATAAGAAAGCTATTGAGCTAAATATATAGCTCAGTAGTAGTGTGCATGCTTAGTGTGTGCAAGGCCCAGAGTTTACTCCTCAGCACTACAAAAAAGCTGTTGATACTCTAGACATGTTTATTGACCTATAATTTTTTTTCTTTTTCCCTCCCTCCCTCCCTCCCTTCCTTCCTGTCTTCCATTTTTGAAGTAGTGGGGATTGAACCCAGGTTTTTCTCACTTAGCTACATCTCTAGCAATCCCTCACCCCCATATTAAATTTTTGAGATAAGGTCTCACTAATTCGCTAAGGCTAGGCTTAAACTTGGATCCTCCTGCCTCAGCCTCCCAGAATGCCCCGATTACAGGCATGTGCCACCATGCCTAACAGAGAGGTGTTTTTATGCAATGAGGAAAAAACCCAGCTTTTCAGTATGACTGTTATGGCTTGTGTTTAGATGTTCTCTCCACAGTGTCATGTGGTCATAGGTTGGGTTTTTCAGAGGTAGCTGTATCTAGAGTGTATGATGCTGGGATCAAAGATGTGTGATTATTAAATTAGTACACTGACTGGCTTTTCTTAGTTCTGGGTAGGATTAAGGGTTCCCCATCCTGAGTGTGAGTGCTACCTGCCTGAAGGGCTGGTTGCCTAGATAGAATATAAGGGACAGAAAGAGGGTCTCTGCTTGTTATTTGCTGCTTGCTGCTTTTCCTGCCTTCTACCTGCCCTGAACAGTTTTTTCTCTATGATGCCCCTCTGCCATGACACCCTGCCATGAAGCCAGCTGACTATGGACTGGCATCTCTATAAACTGAGCCAAAATAACCATTTCCACCTTTAACTTGGGGCATTGTGTATTTTGTCTCAGCAACCAGAAAAGACAGTGACCATATACCTCTGGTTTCCATTTTGTGGTTTCTGTTTTTGTTTTTTTTCTCTTCCTGGTATTAAGGATTGAACCCAGGATCTTCACACTGAGCTATATCCCCAGCTCTTCATTTTGAGACAGGGTCTTGCTAAGCCACTAAGTTGCCCAGATGGGGTAGTGCTTTTAGTCCTCCTGCCTCAGCCCCAGAGTGATAGGATTACAGTGTGTGCCACTGAGCCCATTTGCCATAGCAGAATAGCTTCCAGCATCTCTTTTTTTTTTTTTTTTTTTTTTTCCGGGAACCGAACTCATGACCTTGCGCTTGCCAGGCAGGCGCTTTGCCACTGAGCTAAATTCCCAGCCCCAACTTCCAGCATCTCTTAAGAGTTATCTTAAGGTGGTGAGATGTGTGTGATGTGGTGAGATCAGCAGTAATACTTCTTATTTACCTTGCATACATTTGAAAATTTTGTAAGTGTTTTAGTTTTATAATTATTATTTAGTACTTTTAAAATGATGACTGTGCTACCAGCTGTTTTAAGTTGCAGATACTATCATAATTTAGGCCATAAAAAAGTTATTTATATAACTAGAAGGTAGTTTTTAGCACTGAAGTTTGGATCTCAAAAAGGCTTGAAGGGAAGAACTTGGTTCTTCAAGATGATAAAGGGGTTAGGCGTGCTGGTCTTTGTTGTTATTGTGGAATAAGTGACAGAATGTGTGCATGGAAATGAGAGCTAATTGCAGAATATGTGTTGGGTGTGCATGTGTATGTGTGTATACACAAATGACATTGCATTGGTCTTAGCAAATACGTTGTACACAGCAGGAGAAGAACATAGTTCTTCTTAATAGTTGTGTAATCATGGGCACACTAACTCACTAAGTCTCCTTTGTCTCTCTGTAAAATGGATATTGTGTTAAATTACTTGTGATGTATGTGACGAGAAAAGTACTTGGTGTGTTATCTAATGTATAGAACACTGATATGTTAGCTGTTACAATTGTTGTAAGGCATCAGTCACCTTACTGTAACTATATCATTTTCCCCTCCAGATCCCATTCTGAGGTCTACTTTATCATCGCCATTTTAGCAAATAAAGAAATAGAGGCTCTGAAGGCAAGAAAAGAGGATAAAGAATAGTAAATGGTGTAATAACTACAATAATTGTGAGTATATTGAATTTGTCAGGCAAAGACAGATTATTACTTTGGATTAAAAACAAATTTGAGCTCTGAGCTGCTTCTAAGAGACAAACAATGAAGCTAAAGTTTTAAGTGTAGTTGTATGGTGGATGATATTTGGGACAAATACTAGCTAAGAGGATGCTGATGTTGCCAACTTCATCCTAGGTAAAATAGATTTTAAGGTAGAAAGCATTTGAGGTATGGAGTTTCATGACACAAAGATGAAAGAAATAATCCTTCAGTAGCATAGCCTTACGCATGTAGTCCACATATCCACAGAATTAAAGGAAGAACTCATCACATATAATCATATGTAAGGTTCAAATCCATTTCCTCTAGAAATTCATAAAGTTGGCAGACAAAAATAGGAACGATATAAAAGATTTTAATAGGAAACTTAGGCACAGAAAAGTTACTATTTTTTTTGCCAAAAATCACATGACCAAAGCTAGATGCGGTAGTCTATACCTGTAATTCCAACACTACGGGAGGCTGAGAGAGGTGGATGACAAACTTGAGCCCAGCTTGGGCAACATAGCAAGACTCTCAAAAAAAGGAGTGTGGGGGAGCAAGTGTATAGTCCACTTTGAAGGGCCTATGTCTAGTATACAGTATGGTTTTTCTCTTCAGTCTGAATGTAAGTCTGAATGAAAAAAAAAAAATTACATAGCCTGTAAAGGAAAAAGGTGACTGAAATTCAAATATGTTTAAAATCAAATCATGTAAACTTTGCAAAATTTAATTGGTTTGAAATAATCTTGTCTTTTCCTTCATAACACCTGTTAAATATAGAATACAGCCCACTGTAAATATGGAATAAATCACAGAATTATTTGTGATAATTCTTTCTCTTTGCAGAGATAGGGACCTGGATTGTATTTTAGTGTGTCTTGCTTCTGTTCCTGAGAGGCCAATTTTAATTATATAGTAAGCGTGCCTTGGCCTTAGGTGATCCTAGGTCCCTGGCAAGGGTGGAAGAAGGTGTGTCGTAAACAAGGTTTCTCCTAGTTGTAAGGTATTTGTCCTGCACCCACAGATCTTGGTTCTCACAAGTAAGCCTACTTATGTGAGATGAAAATGGGCTTCCTGGGACCAAAAATTCATTCACAGTGGAGAAGGCCTAGCTAAGACCATCCCACACCTTTGGGGTAGAAGCAGAAGAGACCCAGAATACAACACGCCTCATATTTGCTAATCATCTTGTGCAGGCAACAGAAAATGACCACATTACAAGTAAGTTGATTGTTCTTCCTCATCATTTTCCAGGGGATTAGTAGAAATAAATAAATGTTCCAGTGGAAAATAAAGTATGAGTGATTAAAAAATTGAGAAAACAATGTCAGAACAGACATTGGGATTGGGGTGAATTTGGAAAAATGATACATTAATTATAGGACCTTGGAAAGTTCTTAAATTTGAATACTACATGCAAATCATAGTATCCTGCATGATTAGTGCATTTGAGCTGCAAACTTTGTTCTTACATTTTTGAAAGAAGTACGAATGTTTAAGTTGCACAGTTCAAAGGAAGAAGAAAACTGCACATAGGAAAGAAATATTTCTTGAGCATTAAGTACTCATTTTTTTATCCTTGAATGAAGTCTTTGAATAAATGATATCGTAGGTTAGGTTAACAAGAGAAACACTGTACTCGGGAGGCTGAGGCAGGAGGGTCACTGTGAGTTTGAGGCCAGCCTGGGCTCCAAAGGGAGTTCAAGGCCAGATTGAACTGCATAGTGAAATCCTATCTCAAAAAAACCAGAAAAATTAAAAAAATAAAAAAACCAAAACTAAATGAGGAATTCATGAGTAAGGTGAAGGTTCTACATTCCAGCTCACCCTTAGGAGATGACCAAGGACTTCCAGTGGCAAGTTGGTTAGCACACGGTACTTATACAGGAGACTGCCTGTTCACTGGTTCTGGGTGACATCAAGGGAGAGTACCCATCATTACATTAGTAGTTTCCAGGGTCTGTTTTTATTTTTTCCACATGTAGTCATAACATTTGTAGTCATACCAGTTTTACATAGCCTTTAAGTATTGGCACTCCTTCCTTGTGTTTTGCGTACTGGCTAGGACCTCCAGGGATATGTGGGGTAGAGGAGGAGTTGGGGAGCTTCTTGACGTGCTCTTACCTGTTCTGTCCAGAGTAACTGGGCCTCATGGCAGCTCAGGTGTGCTACTGACCACAGTTTGTGGGCATAGACCCAAAGAGGCTGCCTCACACTTCACTTTTGAGGCAGGTTCAGGGATCTCCAGATCACCTGAGCTTTGGACCAACTGGCTAGAAATTCGGGGGGATCTTGTGATTATTTCCAGTTAGATGATTTACTAGAATTAGGTAATTTGCAAAAGCCAGGATAGCACAGTACTTATAATTGTTTTATTATAGAGGTTACAGATAGGACCAGTCAGATGAAGAGATGGAGTAGGAAGTCTAAGCGAGGGGGGGTCTGGTGGGGGGAGCTTCTGAATGTGGAGCTTCTATAGCCTGTCCCCATGGAAAAGGATACATCACATTCCTGAGACACAGTGATGTGTTTACCAGACAGCAGGCCACCAAGGCTTGGTGTCAGGGTCTTGGTTAGGCTGTAGTGGATAGGCATGATTGATTGAACTCTGTGACTGAACAGGCCCTCCCCTTCCTGGAAAGCGGGCTGATACTACCTGGCTCAAAGCCCTGAGTCACATGGATTGTTTTCCTGGCACAACTGTCCCTACCCTGACATGAGTTGGGGCAGTCAGCATCACCTTGTTAGCATCAACCCTGAAGGGCCACTGTGAATAGGAAGGTACTCCTGGGCTGGGCCCCAGAACCCAGGACAAACACCAGGCACATTTGTGACCTCACAGCAGTGTGATTATACTACTAGCTACATATGCACTTGAAATTTAAATTAGTTAAATTAAATTTAAAAGTTATTTCCTAGCTGCCTTTGATGTGTCCAACTAGGATTGCAGTGTTGGGCAGTGTGGTGACAGACACATTAGTCACTACCAAGCGGTTCAATAGATGTTACTCTTCCAGGCCTCAGGCAGCATCAGCACTTTAGCCCTCAGGCTGGCTCTCGCAGCAGGTGATTTGTGGATTAGGGTTAGCAGGTTATGTTCGTTCTGACAGTCCATTGGTAGTATTTTATCACCTATATTTTCTGCACCTGTTGAAATGATTAGGCCCAGTGTAGTGGCTCACACCTATAATCCCAGCACTGGGGAGACTGAGGAAGGAGGATTGCTGTGAGTTTGAGGCCAGCTTGGGCTACACAGAGTTCAAGGCCATCCTGAACTACATAGCAAAATCTTGTCTAAAGAAAAATGATAACCACATTTTTCTTCTTTATTATATTATGTGATTAATTATGTCGAATTTTGTTTTGTTTTGAGACAGGGTCTCACTGTGTAGTGCAGGTGGACCTTGAGCTCACTTATGTAGCCAGGCTGGCCTCGAACTCGTGATGATCCTCCTGCCTCAGTCACCTGAGTCCTGGGATTACAGATGTGTGCCAGCACACCCAGCTAATGTTGACTTTAGCTTGTTTTACAAAAAGAGACCTCATTTCCTTAGGCCATGTTATGTTTTTTCACATGTCTGGATCATTTTGCTAATTTGTTTTATTTTTGAGATAGGATCTTCCTATTTTCCCCAGACTGGTCTCAGTTGCTTGGTCTCAAATGATCTTCCAAAGTCATCTGACTAGCTGGGGCTTTTGGGTGCTAACTACTGTGCTTGGCTGTTGATATCTTTGTCAAGCTTTTTTTTTTTTTTTTTGGAGACAGGGTCTTGCTATGAATCCCAGGATGGCTTTAAACTCTTGCCATCTTGCCCAGACTAGCCTCAAACTGGCCTGAGGAGATCCTCCTGTCTCAGCTTCATGAGTGCTGGTATCACAGATGTGTGCCACCATGCATGGCTGGTTAGGCATTTTGATTTTTTGTTGTTTGCCTGAAAGCTCCTTTCTTATGTCCACATCAGGTTTGGGATCAGGGGTCTGCTGGCCCTATAAAATGATTGAGATATTTATGCTCTTATTTTTCTAAAAGAATTTGTGTAAGATCATTTTATTTATCCTTTAAATGCCTAGAAGAATTAATTATTGAAGCCACCAAGAGCTTGAATTTTTTTAGGAAGAAGTTTTTTTAAATTGTAGGGTCAGTTCTTTAACAGTTACAGCATCAATTCAGATTTAATTTTTTTGTTTTTTTTGAGACAAGATGGCCTCAAACTTGCAATGCAGGTTAGGCTGGCCTCAAACTCATTATGTAGCCCAGGCTGGCCTCAAACTCTTAGTGATCCTGAGTACTAGGATTACAGGCATATGCCACCATGCCCAGCTCAAGATTTTGTTTTTTATGTCACTTTGGGTACATAGGTTTTCAGAGACTACAGATATTTCACCTAAGATATCAAATGTTGACATAAATTTATTCATAGTAATATCTTTTTAGCAACTTCATTAATTATAACCTCAATAAGATCCACTCATTTTACTGTATAATTTAGTGATTTTTAAATGAATTTACGTTGTATAACCATTAGCATAGTCCAGTTTTAAAAGATGCTCACTGCTCTGTAGGAATCTGTGTGACATTTGTGGTCAGTTCGTCTTCTCACACCTTGTCGGTCGCAGCTACTAATTTGCTTACTCTATAGATTTGCCTTTTGGGGACATTGCAGGTAAATGGATTTATGTAATATGTAGTCTTCACATAACTAAGCAGTTTTTGTTTGTTTTTATGACAGGGTCTCCCTTTGCAGTTCAGGCTGGCCTTGAGCTCATTTTGTAGCCCAGGCTGGTCTTGAACTTGGAAGGATCCTCCTGCCTCAGCCTCCCGAGTGCTGGGATTACAGGAGTGCACCACCATGCCTGATTACTAAGCAGTTTTTGAGTATGATTTTGTTATCTTTCTTTTCCTGTTATCTCATCCAGTGGCAAATGTGAGAGTCAGGAAATACTTTGTTGGTGGGGCTACGAATTTATTCACCTATTCCAGGCCTAGCACCTGTGAGGCCTTGGGTTTAATCAACCAGCACCACAATAAAGTCATATCTGGCTATAGTGTCATACACTTATAACCCAAGCACTGTCAGAGGCTGAGGCAGGAAGGTTGCAAGTTAAAGCCCAGCCTGTGTGATTTGCAGACATGAGCTGGGGAAGTAGATCAGTGCACAGGCTCTTGGTTCCGTTTTCAGTAGCACAGAAAACAACCACCCATCTTGGTTTGTATGAGTGGAAAGATGCACAATGGCCTTTCATCACCTGACACTGAGCAGAAGTAGGGATTTGGGTGCTGTATAGCTTATAGTGAAGAGCATGGGCCTGAGCTCTGACCTGTCCTTCCCTGGCATGTACTAAGTGCTGCTTCAGATTTACTAGAGCTGTGTTCTTGCAGGGGTCATTCTCATTTGAAGATTTGTCTGTGGACTTTACCCAGAAGGAATGGCAGCTCCTGGAGCCACACCAGAAGAACTTATACAGGGATGTCATGTTGGAGAATTACAGCAGCCTCGTGTCACTGGGTAAGAAAGTTCCCTTGATTACCTTGGTGTGCCCAGTGCAGTGTTCTTTTGTTTTGTTTTTTTGAGTTAATGCTACAGGATTCTGAAAATTTTAAATGAATTTGGACTGAAATTTAGGAGATCAGAGTTCTTTGGACTTGGAGAGTTTCTTTTTCTTTTTCCTTTTTGAGACTGGAAGAGTTTCTTTATACTTTCTGTTTCAGATACTTTCTGTATTTGGAGCCAGGCATAGTGGTGCACACCTATTTCAGCCACTTGGAAGGCTGAGGGAGGAAGATGGAAAATTCAAGGCCAGCCTGAGTGACTTCATGATACTGACTCAAAATCAAAAAGGCTTGGCCCTTAATGTAACCAGTGGTTGGGCACTTGCATGTTGTGTTTGAAGCTCTGGGTTCAGTCTCCAGTTCTACACCCACAAAAGGAATTTGGCTTTCTCTCTCCAATAATGAAGCCTTAGATTGTTGGCAGTCTCTGAATCTGTGTGATAGTAGTAGTGGCGGTGGCACTTACTGCATATGAATTACGGCACAACACATGCTGCACCACAAGCCTATGTAGTCTTTGGAGCAGTCTTGTATGGTAGGTACAGTGATTATCCTTTTTTCCTGATGAGAAAAGACAGAGAAGTAAAAGTAAGTTTCCCAGGAATGACAGCTAGTAAGGGGGATCCCAGAGCTGAACCTGGGATCCTGGCTGCAGAGCTTTGAGGTGTTGGATGGTTTGGGATTTAAATCAGACCTTGTTAGCCACCAGGGAGACCATTGTCCTGACCCAGAGTTATTTGTTCTATCATCCAGTGGACTCTGAGGCCATGCCTTGCTCTTCCTTCAGAAGCCCTAAAGACCATGCATTCAGGTTCACAGCCTTTGTGATTTTTCCCCTCAACAGGGTATACAGTCATGAAACCAGATCTCATCTTCAAGTTGGAGCAAGGAGAAGAACCATGGGTAGGAGATGAAGTTCAACACGCAGACTGTTCAGGTGAGTGTGGGAGAGCTAGGCAGATGGAGGACAAAGAGGCCTGGTCTCAGCTGCCTGTGGTGGGTGGTGTCTGTACAGTGTGCCTCAGGAACTCTTCAGAATCTCTAAACTACTGTGCTGATTCAGGGCAGTTGGACATCAGCTACCCAGGTAAATCAATTTTAGTTGTGTCTTATTTGTAGTTTAAAATGAAACATTTCTTCCTCATCAAAGGCCTGACAGTTTTTCTAGTCTGTTGAATCAAGGATGTGGACTTCCTGTTTGATCCCCTTCACCTGGGTCAAAGATACCCCTAGCCCTGCAAACCCGCTCTGTTCATTCTCACTATATCAGAAAAGGAAGCCATCATTTCTCCCCAGATACCATTCCTTTTAACCTTGGTTCTGCTGTGTTTTTCCATAGTTTTAGACACAATGGAGTGTAAGAAGAATCTATTTCTACTATTTTTTGTTGTTGTTGTTCCCACTGTTCTTTCTGGATGTGGTGGCACTGGCCTATAATCCCAGCACTCAGGAGGCTGAGGCAAGAGGATTGCTGCGCATTTGAAGCCAGCCTGGGCTATGTAGTGAGTTGAAGGCCAGTCTGAGCTATACAACAAGACCAAAGAAGTACACCCATTGTTTCTCATTCCTCAAGTTCCTCAGGACTTGTTAGATGGATCTAGATTCTAATCTTTCATAAGTTACCTTCAACAATGTGCATCATATTTGATTTTTCTAAGTCATCCAACACACACCGATCTCTTAAACCTCCTTACACCGATTTACTCCAGGTTCCCTCAGAAACAGCTCCTGGTCATGTCCCTGAGTCAGGAACTTATTGGGATAATAGTCCCTACAAGTACATTGGGGAAATTGGGACTGGGGTTGGGAGTGAAAATGCCAGTGACAGGTTGCATTGCTGCGGCCATGGGGAATCAGTGCTACTGAGATCTCTCTAAGGCATTGTGAGAGGACATTTGCACCCTGAGCCTCCTGGGGTTTTACCCCTACCTCCCATCCTTGGCTGGGGTATGACAAATCCCCAGGATGTCCAGTGTCCCTCCAGGCAGCCCACTAAAGGTAGGAGAGACACAGGTGCCCGGGTTTAAAGATTTCTCATTGTTTTCAGACGTTTAACATTTATTCTCTGCACCTGAACTTCTGATTGCATTCTGTGAGTTGTGTAGAAATCTTTCATCCTCTCTCCAGGAATTGAGTATTCATTGTACTCATTCATGAGGTGTTCCTTGAACACTCCAGCCTAGTTGTTCTCCCACTTTTCTTAAGTGCCGTCCCAGACTTGATTGCATTATTTACAGTAGTTTTAGTTGGTTGGTCTCTGAGCTTTCTTTACACACACAGATGCAGAGGCTTATGATTTCACGTTAGTGCTTCATTTATGGAGCACATAGTACTTGTTTTTGCAGTTTTTCTCTGCAGCATTTTTTTTTAGTGAAGATTTTTTTAGCCAAGGCATGCCTCACATTACTTGGGGATTTTTCTCCAGCTTCTGGTTTCATAGATCCGATACTAAAAGCTGATTGAATAGAATGATATATATGTAATTTTAAACTTTTAAATTTTTTTTTTTGGTTTTTCTCCGGTACCAGGAACCGAACTCATGACCTTGCGCTTGCCAGGCAGGCGCTTTGCTGCTGAGCTAAATCCCCAGCCCCTAAACTTTTAAATTTATTGATCATACATGTTTCATTGCAAATCAGTGCAAAGACGTGCATGTCAAAATTAGTTACACAAACTGGGATTGTGTGTTAGGTCCCCAAGATCAACTCCATGCCCAGAGAGTCACAAGAAGGGTTCCTAGACTCAGCTTGTAAATGTTGTGGCTGGGGTTCATGTCCATGCCTGGGTGAGGTCACTCAGCTGTATCATAGGAGAGGCCCAGACTATCTAGAAGAAGCAGTGTAGCAACTTCTCATGCTCTTACAGTGAGGCACACCTGTTTGACACCTGTTTGAGTGTCAGCCCATCAGCGAGCTGCTGCCTGCATCCTTCCTGGGGCTGGCTAGGTGGTCCACTGCCTCATACCTCTCATCAATCTTTAGAAGGAGGTTTTGTGTTTGTGTACATCTTGGCTCAGGAACAGTAGGAGAAGTGCCAGAACCCCAGTTTCCAGACATCAGCTAAGGGCAATCTTGTAGGCAGCCTTTCTCTGGCTAGCAGTCTCAGCTGCTGCTGACTCTGTGTTGAATACATACTGATTTTTTTTTTTTTTCTGTTTTCCAGGCTTGTGCTGGGTATAATAGGGAGCATGAGAGAGATAGACCCCCACCCCATAATGCTTACTTTCCAGTGGGAAGATAAAAAACGAACAGGTTAGCCTCTAACCAAGAAAATATCCAGACCCTGATGAGTACTGTCACAGAAGTAAATTAGATGATATAGTAGAGAATATGTTCTGCTTTTAGGCTGCCAAAGCAAATGACTACAGAGTGTCTTTTAAACAAATTTACTCCTTACAGTTTGGAGGTAGGGAAATGGAAAAATCAGTTTCCTGTCTTGCAGACAGCTGCCTTTTTGCTGGTGCTCATGTAAGCCTTTTCCCTGAGTGTCTGGGGAGAGAGCACACTCCAGAGTCCCTTTTGCCACAGACCCTCCGATCAGGCTCCCACCCTTGACCCCTAATGTAACCATAATTACTTCCTTAGAAGCTCCATTTCCCAATGCAGATACACTGGGGATTAAGGGTCCAACATAGCAATAACATGGAGAAGAAGCCGATTCTAGATATGAAGAATTAGCTGGGTGTGGTGGTGCACGTCTGGAATCCTAGCACTCAGGAGACTGAGGCAGGAGGATTGCTGTGAGTTCAAGACCGGCCTGGGCTACATAGTATGTTTAGGAGCAACCTAAAGTATGTGCCAAGATCCTGTCTCAAAAAACAAAACAAAACAAAACAATAATAGGTATGAAGAATGTGAAAAGAGCAAGAAATGTGAAGAACTGACAGCATCTCCAAAAGGAGTGAAAGCTATGAATGAGGAAAGTGAGAAGAGGCTTTGTGACTTCTAAGAGAGTCTGACTAACTGAAAGGAAGCCCATGTGGTTGGAATCCTGTGTACTGGAGTGTCCAAGAAAGGTAGAGAGTAGGAGCCAGTTCCTACCTCTACTTGTAGGCAACAGAAATGGTTAAGATTACTTGAAGTAGTTTAAATAAAAGCAAAATTTCTGGTTTGTACTTTTAAAAGTTCTGAACATTGAAGTTCTGATCACTGGGTAGAAAATTTAATAGAAGCCAGTAAACTAATTAGAAAGGTATGTCATCTATCTAGGCTGGGCATGGTGCCCTATGTCTGTGATTCCAGCAGTCCAGAAGCATGAGGCAGAAGGGTTGGTTGTTGGAGCCCCGCTTGGGAATTCAGCAGTTTAGTGAAACTGTACTGAAATAAAGATCCAAGGATGTAGCTCAATGTGAAGGACCTGGGTTCAATCCCCAGTACCACAAAAGAAAAAAGGACAAAATAATTTAGATCATATGATAGATTAGACTATGGCAAGAAGAGTATTGAAGGTAGTAACGAAGACAGGTCTTGGGATAGACCAAAGATGGCCAAGTACAAGGCAGTCTCATCTTCTTTCTCTCTCTTTTCTTTCCTTTCTCTCTTTCTCTTCCTTCCTTTCTCTCCTCCTTTCTTCCTTTGTCTGTCTGTCTGTTTCTCTCTCTTTGTGTCTCTTACAGAATTAGGAATTGAACCCATGGGCATTCTACCACTGAGCTACATCCCAAACTGCCACAACAAACACACTTTTTCTTTAAATTTTGAGACAGGACTTCACTAAATTTCCCAAACTGACTTTGAAGATGTTATTCTCTTGCTTTAGCCTTCTTAGTAGCTGAGATTATGGGCATGTGCCATTGTGCCCACCTTTTCCCACTTTTTTTTTTTTTTGGTACCAGGAGTTGAACTCAGGACCTTGTGCTTGCCAACCAGGTTCTTATGCTGCTGAGCTACATCCCTGGCCCCACATTTCTTGATATGTATTTTTTAAGTTCAAAGTCTTCACATACATCCCAAGGCAAATGGATCTGTGGTGGAGTCTCAGTTTAACTTCCAGCCAGGTGTGGTGGTGCATGCTTGTAATCCCAGCACTTGGGAGGCTGAGGCAGGAGGATCATTGTGATTTTGAGACCAGCCTGGGCTACAAAGTGAGCTCAAGGCCAGCCTGAACTGCATAGTGAGACCCTATCTCAAAAAGACCAAAACAAAAAAAACAAACAATTTAACTTCCAGACTTCTTTCTTGTCCAGCTCCGTAATTAACACCATCGTCCATTGAATTGTTTAGTCTCAGCCCTACGGATCATTTTTCATTCTTTCCTTGTCCTGTCTACATCAGATCACCAGCAAGTCTTGCTGATTATTCATTCATGAGGGCAGTTATGACTCACAATGAGTTAAGCATTTCCCACAAATATATTGCCTCCACGGACATTGAAGTCTGTGGAAGTTCTCATCTTTCATACCTTTAAGAGTGACCTCACAAAACATTCCAAGTACAAGTTTACAAGTTTTTATTAGAAAGTAGTGCTTTTGAAGAGCACTTACAACATGAAAAGAAGTGGTATGTTGTGAAGATGATGGAAATAGGCCTGATAAGAAATGACCATATCCACTCCACCCCATGGGAACTTATGTCTTGAGTCCTTTCAGAGAGTTCACCTGTATTTAAAAGTTCTGTGCCTAAACAAGTGCCATGAAAGAGGATTTTTTTTTTTTTTTTTGTCTTTTTGAGACAGTCTAGCTATGCAGGTCAGGCTGGCCTTAAGCTCACTTTGTAGGCCACGCCAGCCTCAAACTCACAAAGATCCTCCATTGGCCTCCTGAGTGCTGGATTACAGGCATGCACCACCACACCTGGCTCAGAAGAGGATATATTTTGATAATGTGTTGCATGAAGTAAGTGCTTTCTTGGTAATAAATGTTGGAGATGCATTCAGTCCAGTTTAAATAAAACTGGGAAAAATACACAAATGATTCTTATTCTTCAAGCTTAAAGTAGTTTTAGCCTATTAAACTATCCAGTCTGTTCATTTTCTTCCAAATCCTTACCATGATGTTAGCTTTGTTATTTTATTTTTTTACAAATATTCTACTTTCAGTCCTCTCTGCTGAAATGTAAGTTTCTTGCTGTTTTCTGCAGTATTTGTGTTGCCTGGAGTGCGTGTGTGCCTGGTGGATGCTGGGTGAGAATGTCCTAGAATCTTGGACCAGGACCACCTCCTGCCTCCTTGTTGTACTCCTCATTGCTCATTATGTGGTTTTCATATTCTTTGATGAGCTCTTGTTTGTTAACAGCCAGGGATGATTTATCCACATCTAGCTTCCTGCTTGTTTTCAATATGTGGAAGATAGGCATTCTACTTGATTTATTTCATGCTTAGAAGCTAATCCCTAGCAAGCCGTCCGATCTTCAATATAGCGTTTGTGGTGTTTTATTCCATGAACCACAGCCCAACAGGTTTTCTGTTTCCATTATAGAGGTCTGGCAAGTAGATGATCACATGACGTGGCAACAGGACAACCAAGACCATCCTAGAAGTTTGAAAAGATGTCATGAGTGGGATGTGTTTGGAAAAAATTTTACTCTCAGTGTGGATTTTGTTCCTTTAAGTAAATCAAACAATGAAGATGATTTAGATGGACTGATTTTGGAACATAATTTAGATTTGCTTATCCCAGAGGCAGACTGTGAAAGAAGTGAGTCAGATGACTTTAATGTATTTGATAAATTATTTCTCAGTACCAAGCCTCAGGAAGCGGATGGTTGGTTAAAATACTATCAGTGTGATAAATGTGATAGTATTAACTATAAAAAGTCTCAGATTGTCATTTACCACAGAACTCGTCTAGGGGAGAAACTCTATGAATGTAGTGAATGTAGGAAGCGCTTCAGCAAGAAATCAAGCCTCATTAAACATCAGAGCAGACACATAAGAGAAATAGCTTATGGCTGTGGTAAATGTGGGAAAACCTTTCCCCAAAAGTCACAGTTCATCACACACCACAGAACTCATACTGGAGAGAAACCTTATAATTGTGGCCAGTGTGGGAAGGCCTTCTCTCAAAAGTCACAGCTCACATCCCATCAGAGGACTCACACAGGAGAGAAGCCCTATGAGTGTGGTAAGTGTGGCAAAGCCTTTTCTCGGAAGTCACATCTCATATCACATTGGAGGACACACACTGGAGAGAAGCCCTATGGATGTAGTGAGTGTGGGAGGGCCTTCAGTGAAAAGTCAAATCTCATTAATCATCAGAGAATTCATACAGGAGAGAAACCATTTGGATGCAGGGAATGTGGGAGAGCCTTTAGTAGGAAGTCACAGCTTGTGACGCATCACAGGACTCACACAGGAACAAAGCCCTATGGATGTAGTGATTGCAGAAAAGCCTTCTTTGAGAAGTCAGAACTCATTAGACATCAGACAGTTCACACTGGAGAGAAACCTTATGAATGCAGGGAATGTGGGAAAGCTTTCAGAGAGAGGTCAAGCCTCATCAATCATCAGAGAACCCACACAGGAGAGAAGCCTCACGGATGCCTGCAGTGTGGGAAGGCCTTCTCCCAGAAGTCACACCTCATATCCCATCAGATGACACATACAGGAGAGAAGCCCTTCGTATGCAGTAAATGTGCAAAGGCCTTCAGTAGAAAGTCCCAGCTTGTTAGACATCAGAGAACTCACACAGGGGAAAAGCCCTATGAGTGCAGTGAATGTGGGAAAGCTTTCAGTGAAAAGTTAAGTCTCACTAATCATCAGAGAATTCATACAGGAGAAAAACCCTATGTGTGCAGTGAATGTGGGAAAGCCTTTTGTCAAAAGTCTCATCTCATATCACATCAAAGGACACACACAGGAGAGAAACCCTATGAATGCACTGAATGTGGAAAAGCCTTTGGTGAGAAGTCAAGTCTTGCAACTCATCAGAGGACTCACACAGGAGAAAAACCCTATGGTTGCAGGAACTGTGACAAAACCTTCTCCCAGAAGTCACAGCTAAACACTCACCAGAGAATTCACACTGGAGAGAAGCCCTATGAGTGCAGTCTTTGTAGGAAAGCTTTCTTTGAGAAGTCAGAGCTAATTAGACATCAGAGAACTCATACAGGAGAAAAACCGTATGAATGCAGTGAGTGTAGAAAAGCCTTCAGAGAGAAGTCAAGTCTCATTAACCATCGAAGAATACACACAGGAGAGAAACCCTTCACATGCAGGGAGTGTGGCAAAGCCTTCTCTCGGAAGTCACACCTCATTCCACATCAAAGGACACACACAGGTGAGAGGCCTTATGGCTGCAGTGAGTGTAGGAAAGCCTTCTCTCAGAAGTCACAACTTGTGAACCATCAGAGGATTCACACAGGAGAGAAACCTTATCAGTGCAGTGAGTGTGGAAAAGCCTTCTCCCAGAAGTCACAGCTCATTAACCACCAGAGAACTCACACAGGACCAAAGTCTTAGGAATGCATAAGTGAGCCTAACAGAGAGGCACACCTCATTTACTTCAGAAAATATCGGGTAAAACTTTTCATAATTCATCCCATTGTATGTCAGACTGCCTTTTGAGGTTGCATAGATGAAGTTGTGATGGGGACATTTCAGCAGGCAAGCATACTGTCCTGTCAGCATTTGTGGAGGAGAGGGAGCCTGTGAGTGCACTGGGTCTCAAGAACCCTCCAAAGCAGTTAAGCCTTATTCCATGGACAGATGAAGGAGGAATCGTTTCAGAAAGCCTTCTAGAGGTCAGTCTCATTAGCCATTAGAAATGTTCCACTGCGTAACTTGTGTCCCATACCTTTACCAAGAAATGGTAATTCATTATACTTAAGAAAATGACCTTAGGAATAAAATTATATGAAAAATTAAATGTGGAAATCTTCATCAAGTAACCTAACTGCATTGTATTTTGGAAAATTCATATTGCAGGTAAACGTAACAAGCACATTGGAAGGATAATATCTGAAGAAATAATGCTATAAAGGGAAGCCATGCAGGTTTGGTTTTTGTATTTTTGAGGTGAGGCCTTGTTGTGTTGTTCAGGTTGGCCTTGTATTTGCTTTGTAATCCAGGCTGATATTGAACGCACAGCAATCCTCCTGCCTCAGTCTCCTGAGTGCTTGGATTATAGGCACACACTACCACACATGGCTCAGTACACTTCTTATAGACATGGGTTCAATCTCAATTCTAAATGGCTAATGAGTGTTCACTCTGAAATGTGAAGTTTTAAAAACATGAATAAATCGAATCATTGAAAAATCTGAAGAAGAAAATTCTTAGTGGTGTTTGTGATTTATTTTCCTTTGTAATATTACGTTTTGTATATTTTGATTACAATTTATAGTTGAAACAGTGTAATTGGTAGCATGAAATATGTGTGCCTTATAGTGTCTTTTGGTATGTCAAGATACACTTTCTCTCCTGTTTCTACTTTAATCATTTGAAAAGAGAATCTCTTATAACATGACCTGTTGCTAAGTAGATTAAAAATTATCACATTTCTTTTATCCTTAATATTTGTTTGCATATATGTTTATTGTTCTCTCTTTTGTAAAGAGTTGAACATTTCTAAGTCTCCTACATTCACAGAATCTGAGAACAGTTTATATAAAGTCCTGTTAATAAGTTTTCAGAGACAAGAACCACAAATAACAGTAGTGATGTATGATACTGAGTGAGCAGAAGGGTGTGTGAACTATACTCCTAAGCACTCATCTACATGAAAGGATGCTGTGCTATAAAATTTCCTTTTTTGGTGAGCTTTCTCCATGTCTTGCCTGTGTATCTTAAGTGCTTTGTAACCCAACATTACATTGTATTTCAATTTCTTGTGATACTTGAATATGTTGTATTGCTGCTGTGTTGTGGTGTTTGATAATATATCTTGTAAAAAATTAGATGGAGAAAACAATTATTGACAGGTCACTTTTCAGAAGATGTGAAGTACAGAGACTTTTGTGGTTAAAAAAATTACTGGGCTGGGGATGTAGCCTAATGGTAGAGTGCTAGCCTGTCATGGGTTCTATCCCCAGAACTGCTTAAAAAAAAAGAAGTAAAAGTTCTTGACACATTCAGGGATGTGTTTTGCCTTTCTATTTTTGGGAGTACTGACACATGTCAGGAAACACAATTTCCATTATTTTTTTTGAAAGAATATTTGTTTTACCATCTTTCACCTTTGCCGCAGCAAAGTGGGAATTGGGTTGGCAAATTACTTCTATTTTACTGTTATTCTTCCCTTTAAAAGACATGAGGCTGCTCCTAAGTTAGAATTTTGTAGTTTTTTCTTTGTGTAATATTGCTTGAGTTAGATATTTTTGTATGGTAATGAAATTTAGAAGAATCTTACATTGAGCTTGATCCCAGACTTTGAAAAATGAAGGTTTCTCTTATGCACAAAGTATTTTCAGAATGATGTATTTCATCTTTGATTCTAACAGTAATTTTCCTTTAATCACAATTATGCAACATTGTTTGATAATTATAATTTTGTTGTTGTTGTCTTTTTGAGACAGGGCCTTACTATGAAGTTCAGGCTGGTCTTGAAGTCACTTTGTGGCCCAGGCTGGCCTCGAATTTGCAACTGTCTTCCTGCCTCAGCCTCCTGAGTGCTGGAGTTACAGGCGTGTGTCACCACACCTGGCTTGAAAATTAGAATTCGTAATAAATGAGAATCTAAACCTGTGGTGGTGAACCTACAGCACACGGGATTCAGTGGGGGTGTTATCACTGAAAGTTGTAACAGGTTTATCACCACTGTTCTAAATGAAGATACCTGTATTTCAATATCCATTTAATCCTATCTTTTCCCATAGTAATTTTTATTTTTATTTTTTTCTCATAGTAATTTTACAGCATCCAGTTTCTCAGTCTTTAAATTCATATTGAAATTTGTGGACTTCCTACTTCTTTTTAATACCTGAAAGTTGTTTTACCAGACGAGGGAGACAAAGCTTTATAAATGAAAAAACGTTAACAAGATGATGTTCTACTTTGTGACTCTACCTACTTTCTCCCTCCATCCATTGTGGTTTTTCTTTACCAGTAACAGACATTGAGACATTAAATCTTGAACAGGATCAGCAACCTCTTATCTAAAAACGTCCTAATTTTGCTCATGGTGATTCTAGGTTATTCCATTGACTGTTACGCAGTTAAACCTAATACTGCTTTCAGTAGACAGTGGAACTTCTGCACTAGTGTAGTCATTCAATATATGAAAGGAAAAGAAAAAAGGAAAAAAAAACCCTCTAATGGCCTGTTTGTAATTCTCAGGTTTTAATTGGAAGGGGGGCAGATACAGACCACAGAGAAGTCCAGATCATCTAATACCTGGTGTGAGCCCATATGGCTTTGAGGTCCCCAGAGTGATGCCTTTTCTGAAGGGCAGATTTTCCATGTTGTACGTGTGGCTTACAATTTAGAATATTTGCTGTGTCCCACAGCAAAAATGTGCACTTTCAGGGATCTGGATGTCTGGCCCTATAGAATTCAGGGTTGTCTTCACAAGAAGCATAGTCTTCCAGAGGGTCTATGGTAATGGTGTACATGAGACTGTCCCTCCTTTGACTGGGGATCATGGGCACCCATGCGTTCTTTGAGGACATAGTACCATGTTAAGATCTTTGACCCATTCGTGTTCTTCTAATTCAGGAGGATGTGCCTATCATGATGGAATATTACTCCTGAGTTGTGGCTTCATCCTGGCTTTTGCTAGACTACTCCAGGCCTCTTTTGCATCAGCAGCTACTGCCTGGCAATGTATGTGGTATATCTAGTGCATCCTCTATAGTATTATTTGGGATATAATGTCCTGTATTCATGCTGAATTGACTCACCTCTAATTACAAGTCAGGCTTTTCCTTCTTCTGTAGGCTGGTTGTAGTCTCTCTCTCTCTGATAGCTGTAGGTAAGAAATGAAGGAGGAGTGCTCATACAGAGGTATGGACTCGTGAGCGCCTAAGCTGCTCCTCACACAGCCTGTTTGGCTTTCTTAAATACTTGCCATACTTGATCCTGGACTTCTTCTATTCTATAATGGATAGCAATTTTAATTGCCCAAGTTTGTCTTGTGCACGTGGTGTGATCCAGCCCTTCATGGGTAGTTCTGGTGCACTGTGACTGGGCACTGCACTTCTACCAGAACTCAGCGGTATACCACACATCTTTCAAGAGCCACGTGTGTTGTAGTCTGAACATGTGTGTCCCTATCAAAAGTCGTGTTGAGGTTTGGTCTGAATTGCAGCATTGTAGAGCAGTGTTTGAACCTTCAAGAGGTGTTGCTGTTAAGAGGAATTTGTGCTTTATTCAGAGAGTAAGTTTCTGCTCTTGAAGGACTGGATTGGTGATTACTGGGGTGGAATGGTATAAAGGGAGATGACACCTCCTGTTCCTTCTTGTCTTTCTCATGCTTACATACCTGCTTGCTCTCCTGCTGTTTTCTGCCATGGTATGACACTGTGAACCCTCACCAGTTAGAGCTGCCCCACCATGCACTTGAACTGCGAGACATATAAACCTCTTTTTTAATAATTTATCTACTCTCAAGTATTCTTGTGGCAACAAAGACAAAATTACTTTTCACAAGATAATCTTCCTGCAAAACTGAGATGAGAAAGATGGGACTGACTATTTTTCTAGTGCCAGCCAAAGTGAGGGAGCCTTGTTTGGCCAGAGACTGTTGTGCCCACCCCCCATGAACTAGGAAGACTTGCTTCAGAGTCCTCCCTGGCCATCTAGTGACCATGCTCTTCCAGTTTGCTCCAACATAAGTACAGCTGCACTGTCAGGGTTCCCCTCCCCAACTCTTGACACATCAGATGCTGCTGTTGCCTTTTTTGTCGGTATACTGGGAATCAAACTCAGAACCCTATGCTTTCCAGGCAGGTGCTGCTCCACTGAGCTAAATCTCTGGCCCTATGCTGTTGCCTTTTTGAGGAAGGGGAAGGGGACACCCTGACATGACTAAAATCAGAGGGATCTGGGCTCCATTCTTAAAACCTCCTCAGCCTTCCAGAATAGTCTCTGATTTCAGTCCCACTCCCTTATTCCTACCATGACAGCTGCAGCTGTTCTGGAACCCTGCACCTACTTGGGTCAATATAAGCAGTGTTCCTCACACTAATCAGAAGGGCTCCCTCCTGTATACTGACCTACTGTGCTGCAGCACAGGCCCTGTTAAAATAGACTTATTTCTGTGATTCTATAAACATTTCTGTGGTTCTATCAAGTTTATACATCAGACCCAGATGTGTAAACATTTTATTTCTCATGTATTCTGGGCCCTGAAGTCCTGTAAATCTCCTCAGGATACTTAATCCTGAATAGTATGAACAGAGCAACATCTCAAAAGAGATTAATAAACACTTAGAGCTGCTATGAGAGACCAGTAAATAAAGATCAGAGACCATCTTCTTGCAGTTGACCTACTGTGTTCAGCACAAGCTGTCACTGGATTACAGTTGGCAAAGAGCAGCAACTAGCGGAGTCAACTTATGGTGTCTTGCACAAGTCATCAC